CTTCCCCTTCCACCCCTTCCACAAAAGGAGACTAGGGAGACTCCTTTTTAACAAAGAGCATCTGAAAAGGAAGAGTCTGAAGGTTGGGAGGGACACCCCTCTTTTTTCCCTCTCCAGCAGCCTTCAAGGGCCCCAGCAATGGCGTTGCCTTGGCAACTGCAGCCCCCTCCCAGCTCCCTTTTCTCCCCTAACCCTGTCCTGCCTGGGTGTCCCTTTGGCTTGTACCCACCGCCCTCCCTCCCTCTCTCCTAGCCTAGGTTAAAGAGAAGCTGGGGAGGGGTGGGAGTGGGAGAGGACTTTCCTCACTGGACAGCCCCAGCTAGGCCCCTGCAGCAGGCCCGCCCCTTCCAGGGATCAGAGGGAGGACTCCTTAAGGGGGAGAGAGGGCAGGATGAAGTGACATTTGAGAGAATTCTTCTGATAAACAAGGGGACTGTCATCTCCCAAAGATCAAGCTCCAACTTGCCCTCCCATCCCAAGCCCACCCTTTCCAGGAGGCAGAGGCTGGGCCCCAGGAACCCCTGGCCGGCTTTAGGAAGCTAGTCCTGAGGCAAGGGGCTCGGGGGTCATCTAGCTCTGCTCTCTGAGCCTGGGGGTGAGGAAACCAAGGTCTCCTCATCTGCCAGGAGTGGGGGCACAGAGGGGTATATGGCAGACTGAGCAGTGGGGGTGTGGGGGCAGGGGAGCTGTTGCGCTGAGGAATGGAGGGTGACAAGGACACCCCACAGGCGGGAGCTGTTGACGGTTCCCCAGAGGCTCAGGGAAAGCTCTTGGCCTGCCCTCAACCAGCTGCTGTGCTCCTGAGGGGTGCCTGCCTCCCGCCGTCAGTGTCCGGATGTCCAGTTAGAACTACGGAATGGCCTCTGGCCTCCCACGCCTCCGGCCAAAGAGGGGAAAACGAGGCCCAGCCTGGTTAGAGGGGCCCCGAGAACACCAGAGAGAGGAGAGGGACCTGGGGCCTCAGAGGGGCACGGTCAGATGGGCTGGGGATCCTGCAGTTCTCATCCGGTGTCCCTGACTGGACAGGCTTGTGGCCACAGGCAAACCCAAAGGCAGCCCTTCAACGGCTGTGTCCCTTTACTTCCTGG